GTAAATTTACATGAATTCAGATGATTTTCGAAAAGACTTAAAGCATTTCTATGATGGTCGCATGTTTTCAACAAAAAATATTCCAATTCAACTGAACAGACAGGAATGGTTATAATACATAACTAATTCAAGCTATTATATTTTAATTTCTTAAACCTATGGAATAATTTCTTTTAATTGAATCAATTAACATTTTTCAAGTTTTTCCATGCTTAGTCTTAATTTTCAAAACCACATAGCGCAGAAAGTGTCAATGGTTATGTCAAACATCAAATATTGACAAGTGACATTACAAAAAAGAATTCACCCTAAAACCAATGCATAACACGCGACCTGCGTCAGCTCATGTCAACATTTCAATCTCAAACTCTGAAAATTCACAAAGAATCACAATCATGTTTACCAAATAAAATTGCACGAACTTTCCCTAAGTTCAAAAATGCCATTTCAAATAAAATATTTGCAGGTGTTATTACAATTTTTTAGCATGAAATATTTGGTTGGAGTCGAAACACGACTTAATACCACAGGCAGACGATAGCAGAGTGGAAATGTATACACAGGGCGATGGGGAAAAGGGCCTTCGCGTGGATCCCTTTGATACACCTGCGTAGTTAGCATAACTGAATGTCTAGCTGTCTGACTGCGAACAGGGACAATGCAACGGGTGTCATTTCCGAAGTTTGTCCTTATAGTCGACACAGGTGAAACCGCAGACACGGCCGTGACACTAGAACGTGCAGGTACGCATTTAACCCTCGGCCTCCAGTCCACTTAGCAGTAAAGACGGATGATGATCTGTCAACATTTACTTCGTGGGAATACCCGAGATGATTGATGATGGAAATTTTTTCACAGAAAAGGAACATGTGTGGCTATTCTTAAAAATCAGCAAAGAAATAACTTTTTAAAAAAATTGCTACATACTTGTCTTGAAAATTGTTGGATAATTTTTCAATATTTTTTCAATACTTTTTCAATATTTTTCAAATATCTATACTAATCCCTAAACTCCAGAAGTCCTAAATGATAAGAAGATTTCAATTGAATACCAGTTTTGAGCTTTTAGTCATGTTAAAACAAATTGTTTAGAAACAATATTTGCACATTTTATAAAGAATGTCTGATATTAGAGTAACAGAGCATCAATAATTTGTCATTGTATGATGTGAACATAAAATGTATCTAACAGAACTTCAAATATGGGCACTTCTTGGGAGATAAGAGCCACTATTCAAGTGAACAAACCAATGACAGTAAGGCAGCTTGTGGGGAGGGAGTTGGTCGAGAGGGAAAACTACACAGTTCACAAAACAAACATAACTCAGACAGAGATGACCGCCAAGGGTGAAGGAAGACAGCTGTGAACGATTCAAACAAAATAATATAACTGAATTCATAAAAACATCTTTAACAATGTCTTTGAATCTGACCCAAAAGAAAATAATTTTCTTCAAAACACAACAATCTTAATAACTTAGGATAGTTAAAACCTGACGAGAAGATAATCACCTACAATTTTTTATCACTTTCAAAACAACACTTTAAAACCTAAAGAGAAGATAATCGTCTGCAATATTTCATCACTTTCAAAGCAACATACAACATCTTAAAGCATTCACCCATCCTTCATTCCAAGGTAACACAGTCTTTCCCTTTATTTAAGCGCAGTGCAGGGTTACTTTGTCATCACACTGTCTAGGTGTAGTCATGGCCCATCGACAACCATGGTACAGGTGGGCTTAGATTCACTGATAGAGAGGTCTTCATTACCCACATCTTGAGACAGTCAGCCTCCTAGCAGGTAGATAACATCTTAAATGTTGTCAATTACAAAGTTGTACGGGCTTGTCTTTTCTGAATTACTGACTTGGTAAACATTCCTCTTAGCACAGCAGCATCAAATCATCAAGAAGATCTTTATTCATTTCCTTTGAATATTATAAAAGGCCATTTCTCTATATCAATCCCATTCAAGCATAGTTACCTTTCCATGCACAAAATAATCGCATCATAAATGAAAACGATTTTCCCAAAAGAAGCATTTACAAACCAGGAAACTCATCCTGTATGGTAATGTAGGGGGTAGGGACGTAAGGGGTAGGGGTAGGACGTAAGGGGTAGGGGTTGGATTGGCTCGGGGTGTCAAGTGTGTGTGTTGAGTGTGCGCATGTGTGTGGAGTGTGAGTGTGTGTGTTCGAGCGTGCATGTGTGTGTGTTCGAGTGTGCGGAGTGTGTTGAGTGTGGTGCGCATGTGTGTGTGTGTGCGCATGTGTGTTGAGTGTGAGTGTGTGTGTGTAGGTGTGTGTGTGTTGAGTGTGCGTGCACATGTGTGTCGAGTGTGAGTGCATGTGTGCGGAGTGTGTGTGTTCGAGCGTGCGCATGTGTGTGGAGTGTGTGTGCGCATGTGTGTTGAGTGTGAGTGTGTGTATGTAGGTGTGTGTGTGTGTTGAGTGTGCGTGCACATGTGTGTCGAGTGTGAGTGCATGTGTGCGGAGTGTGTGTGTTCGAGCGTGCGCATGTGTGTGGAGTGTGGTGCGCATGTGTGGAGTGTGTGTGCGCATGTGTGTTGAGTGTGAGTGTGTGTAGGTGTGTGTTTGTGTTGAGTGTGCGTGAACATGTGTGTCGAGTGTGGTGCATGTGTTCCAGCGTGCGCATGTGTGTGTGTAGGTGTGTGTGTGTGTTGAGTGTGCGTGCGCATGTGTGTCGAGTGTGAGTGCATGTGTTCGAGCGTGCGCATGTGTGTGTGTAGGTGTGTGTGTGTGTAGGTGTGTGTGTGTTGTGATGGTTTGTGGGTCTCATTTCAATATGTCAATATGTTAAAGTAGGTATCATAAACTATTTCATCATAAAAAAATTCAACATCACAATGTGTTTTGCCCACAGTTGGGCCGGGAAAGGTCTGCACTTTCACATGTTACAAGAGCAATTAATCCAGCCATACAACATCACAATGAGACAAAGGTTTGGTGCAGCATGTTAGGGAGAGCCCTGTGGTCATGTAATGTTACATAATCACACAGCACCCTGACATGTGGGCGTCTCCGCCATCAAGCATGACTAAGCTAGATGTACACCAGGCCTTTCTGGTCAATTGTATGGAAATGACTTAACAATGGTTGTTATGTGGGACATGAATATAGCCTGTCATTGTCTGTGAATGCATCCAAACTACCAAGCTGAAAAAATATGTGCGTTCCGATGACCTGACCTAACCTATATCCTCAGACAACACATATATGCAAAGTATAGTATTATCAAAAACAGTACATTTATGAAATATATTTCCTCCCAACTCCCTCCCATGTGTTATCTAAGCCATGAAATGTGTGAAGACCAGCCATACCCAGGGATCTTATTGTTATCAATGCTATTCTACTGGCAATATTTGAGCGAGTGAGTGAGTGAGTGAGTGAGTTTGATTTTACGCAGCTTTTAGCAATATTCCAGGAATATCACGGCGGGGGACACCAGAAATGGGCTTCACACATTGTACCCATGTCGGGAATCGAACCCGGGTTTTCAGCGTGACGAGCGAACGCTTTAACCACCTGGCTACCCGAACGCCCCTGGCAATATTTGAACATTCAACCACGATAATACTTGGCTATGAAATTTCTTTTTAACATTGATGAACTGTTTCAAGCGAATTTTCAAGTTTTAATTGCAAACTTCATATATGATGATTATCATGAATATATTATGCATCAACTACACCCATTAATCTTACTTTACTGCAAAAGGGGGCAATATCATGGTGTCATAAAACATCCAACATTTCAGCCTCTGAGAAATTACAAGGGCAATAACAGTGATACCTCATAAGACGGTAAAATGTCTCCAAATCAGGTCAGGTTAGATGTAAGGTACTGTACACAAAGTTGGTTTCAAAGGGTGAGTTTCCCCAGGACACACAGTTAATGGTGTACCACCAACAGAGGTTTGTCATCTGATTGTTGTGTAACAGATTATCACCTTCTTTATTGGGCCATAAGCTATCAGTTTCTTTTATGTCTTCTAGTTATGATCTGTCATTGTTGTATGTAAGATCCCCTCAACATTAAAGTACACTCTGCAAATCTAGCCGATTTCCTAGATTTTTATAGTACACAACATGGGCAGATAACTCTGACAACAAAGCAATGGCATGAACAGTTTTGTCACCTGATCAGAATTTAGATTCTGTTCACTAAAAAGTTAAAAAATAAATGTTGCCTTGACTTTACTCACAGAGGTTCCATCCCATTTTGACAGATCAATTTTTTAAAACCACTTAGATATAGAAGTGTACACATATGGCGGCGCGATTAAGATGACACATTTATACATTATCATGTGACTGAACTCTTAAATCTTAAATTTGTTTACAACTACCATATTCGACCTAATAAGCCCTCCACTCTAATAAGCACCTGCAGCGATATTTGCTTATATATTGGCTAGTGAACAATCCCAATTAGCACCCCTTCCGATTGATCAATGTACACAAGACTTATTTATTCGTGTATAATACTCACTCGTGTGTTATATGCCCCCCTAATTATGGGCAATTAGATTCCTGAAAAATATATCTGGCGTATAAACATTTCAGGCTGTCAGCATAAACCACGAAATTTATGATCTTTCAACTCTGTTTTTTTCACCAAAATAATATTCTAATAAGAGACCCCTTTTTCTAATTTTGAGAGCGCCCTTATTAGGGCGAATATGGTATGTTGTACTTGTTTTGCAAATCTCCTATCAACCTGATCTAATTTTTAAAACACATATTACATGTTCACTGACAACACTTTTGAAGATGTGCAATATGCACAAATCATATATTTACAAAACCCGAAATACTGATTCAAATTCAGAATGAATAATTGCGTGCCCTGACTTACATGTTTAAGACAAATAATGACATGTTTAAGACAAATAATGACATGGTTAAGACAACAGGTTCTTTGTTAAAGCTATGTACATCCACTTGATGAATGCACGTGCATGTTTTCACTTACCATAGCCGGTATATTCCTCTATACACAAACTACACATGACTTTAGGTGTAGGGGAGACAGCTTGCTGACAGGGGTCTGTACACTTCATTGAGAAAATAACCTGTTTCTGTCAGTCCAAAGGCAGCTGTGATCTAGCTAAGCAAAATAGCACCGAAGTAAACAGAAAATATGTCAGTATCAACCCTGAACAATCCGAGGAGCGTATGAATTCAACTTGTCAACATCACTGGTGTCTTTTCCAAACTGAGACAATCAGCTTCAGAATGCACCTTATCCATATGATAAAACACCATGGGATGAGAACTATCCTTCAAGTGCATATCACCATTGCAACAATAACGGAGCTATAAACTATGCAACAAAAGGCTTGTGATCTCTCTGATTAATCCGTTATCCCAGGGACCAGTGATGTAATAGCTATCAACTGGTCAAGTGGACACTAGAATTAGCAAGCACTTATCCCCAAGGGGTCAGTGGCACTTTGCATCTGATTGCTGGTGTCTCAAGGCTACACACACATCGGCACAATCTATCAGGTCTCATGTGTTGACCGGTAGTCTGTTTCCTCTTTTCCGTGTCACTTCCGATCACCCCCGCTACCAAGCACCGACATATCCTACCACTTACTTTTCAACTTTTGATTGAGTTACTTCACTGACACATACTAGGCCTTACGTAAAATGTCCACCGAGCCTCCTAAAATGATTCTCAATGAAATTGTTCACCAGTAAACAAGCAGTCAATCTAACAGATGATGCAACTGCTCAGATTAATTAACTGGATCCTGCAGGATGAGTCATGAAAATCTTTGTCAAAATTTCAATGAAATGATTTCCAAAAGTCTTTCATAGTACATCCACGACAACAGTTAAGTGGTGGACGTCAGCAATGTCACATAATTCTCATCTGTGAAATTTTCTCACATCTGTGCCTTGTACATTCAACTTGCAACACAGGAAAAACACTAGGGCCAAATCTGTCCAACTTTTATGTGTCATTTGTTGAAGGGAGAAGCGGACAAAAGCTCACAATAATGTCACGTCCAACATGAACACAAAAGCAAATCCCAGCCGGGCTGTTCTGAACTCAATTGCTGGCTAAATCGGTAAATGTCGTCTGTTAATGAGAAGCAAACTGGAAAGTGCTGGAGGATGTAAGTAAAAGCTTCCTTGCTGGCATAATGAGGTGCTCATACACACTGCCAGCCAGTGGCGATGAGAAAAACTCCTGCCGACTGTTAGCAACGCCCAAGACAATGAAAGTGAGAAGACAGAGATTCGTAAAGATATTCCCTCCTCCCCTGTGCAGGCAGGCAGGCAGGCTCACTGTAGCTAGTCCCGTCTGATGACCTAGACACAGCTCTCATATATATACTTATTCACACGATCTCTCACTCATTCCAGGCTACTTACAATACAGGCAGATGGAATAAAAATCAACGTTTTTAGCTTGAAGCAAGCAATTTGAAGACTTTACCCACAACTGGGACTTGCTAGGAGCCAGTCTCCACCACTCCAAAATCTCATTTACTTTTTCTACCACAATTTTTCGATCCAAACTGCAACCATATGTACAGCATTACTCAGTCTACGGGGCAGCTGAAATTCTTTCTAGAGTCAACCCTGTTCTTATAAAAGAAAATAAACAACGTCTTGGGATTTCCACGCTTCATTCTCAAATCCAATGTTACTTCCCCATTATTACGACACATGTGTTTCTCATTTTCCCCTGAGCAGGGTCAGAGAATCAGCTTAAGTCTCCACCACCTTTCTTCAAGGTACACAATACATGGCAACAATAACAGAAGAGTTAAAACAGGCTTACATAACAGGACAAGCGCTATAGTGAGGAGATGTTATAATGGAGAAGGCAGTTGAGGGGGAAGCAGTCTGCTGGCCCTGCAAGTTTGCAGTGTAACTTGATGCCAGGGCCCCTCTGTCTGTGCTGAGAGATCTACACCCCTCCAGTTCAGTCAGCATCTAAACTGATGGTGTTTATATTCCTCCCAGCCAAGATGGACCATGTGGCCTGGCCCACTTGTTGATAAAAACCACCGAGGTCAGCCAGCCACTTCCTATGCACTAAAACCCACTGTGAAATCATCATCTTTAGGATCGCTCAGCCATGAAAATGTGGCTTGATAGCTGTGAAGACTCAAGGATAATAATACTATGCCATAATGTTCTTGTATCAAAGGGCTAATGCTTTGCTTTGTACACTGGCTTGTCTAATAAGCTTCAATTTGGCACAGTAAGTCACTTCCGTGGTGCCCTAACTAAAACCACTAAACTTTCTCTGGTGAGTGAGTGATGCATTCATCAGTTTCATCCTCTCAGTGACCCAGGTTTAAATACTAGCAACATCAGAGCACAAAGAGGAGTTATGCATCATTTCTAGCTATCCATAAAGTTCACTCTCGCTAAGCTCGCTACATAACACTTTAAGCCTATTCCTCCAAAATACTGAAGTGAAGTTTTGCCTTCAGGAATCTCTGGAGTATCATATGTTTCCAATCACAACATTATCGAAAAAATACTTTTACATCAATGATGCTCATGAATTAAAACTGATCTCTTCTCATATCAATATCATGTTCACATGGTTTAGAAAACATGCAATCTGAAAATAATTCTGCAGGTTATTATCAATGTCTGTCCCTCTGGGCCGAGTTGTGTCATCTGTAATGTTTTGGGCCGATTTAACTAACATGAAGAAATAGCACTTGACAAAACTTGATAAGAGTTATAACATTAAGTATATTGCTTTCTCCCTTTCAGCTGAAATATATTTCATTTCTATTCAACTTGCAAGAAAAATATCATCACATCGTATCCACTTCACCAAGCTAAGGCTGAGTGATCGAAGACTTAAAATTGAACTGGGTAGAGCGAGTGAGTATGGTTTTACGCTGATTTAAGCAATTTTGCAGCAATACCATGGCGGAAATTGGGCTTCACACATTGCAAACAAACTAAAAGGTACACTCTCCCCACCAGACTGAGTGAGTGTGAGTGAGTATGTTTTACGCCGCTTTTAGCAATATTCCAGCAATATCACGATGGGGGACACCGGAAATGGGCTTTACACATTGTACCCATGTCGGGGATCGAACCCTGGTCTTCAGCGTGACGAGCAAACGCTTTAACCACTAGGCTACCCGACCGCCCCCCCCACCAGACTGAGATACATGCAGCACATAGTGTTGTCAACAAATAATCAACTGCTATTTTTGTAGGCGTTTTTGAAACCTCTACATCAAACAAGTCAAGTGAAACTGGATTCCATGGCAGAAATTGCAAAGTCTGCAAATAGCAACTGCACCACTTGCCCCCCCACCCCCCCTGACGTTGATATGATAACAGATGGACCGACAGTGAAATATGCAGAGATCAATGTTCTAAAACCAGGGAGCAAATCTTTTAAACCATGTATCTTTTCCTTTTAAAACACACCACAAATATGTCCAAACTGCTTTGCCAGGGAGCTAATATTAAAACTCTTCAAAACCTCCAGGCAATGTGAAAATACAATTTGAACACAAAAATGGTAAAAACAAGCACAATTACTCTAAATTTTGACACTAATTGTCACGAAACTTCTTGGAAAAATACCCCTGCTGGAGTCGCTGACTGTGAAAGAAAACAACCTTGTAGAGAGAGAAAACAGATTGGCGTTCACAGAGTACTTCTTGTTCTCCAGTGTTCAGCAACAGTGACAGTCAGGCACAAGATGAGAGGCTTTTGAGAAGGGGTTTAAAAAAACGGGGGGGGGGGGGGGGGGGGGGGGAGAAAAAGACAAAGCCAAAGTTGAAAGATGTCCCAGGTATCCCCACATGTGAAATTCCATTTGCCTGAAGAGAACCACTGACCAACATGAAAAGTGTGTGCAGATGATCAGGGCTTGAAATATATATAATATTGTTGTTTCAGCTTCTGGCTATATGACAGTTATCACACACACAAAAATGACAGTTGGCTAGCCTAGTGGTCAATGTGTCGTCTCAAAGATCAAAGTGGTCAAAGTGTCATCGTGATGAGGGCTGGGTTCGATTCCCATCAAGGATGATGTAACACTGGAAACCAAATCTAGGTGTCTCCAGCAACATTAGGTCAAGCGCACCACACTCACTTAAAATGTAAATTTAGTCTGAGATGAATGTTGTTAGCTATATTAGCTTACTAGACAAAAACTTTTTTTAAAAATTTACTAAACGCAGACTTCTGACTTTTAGTGGTCACAGATACCGACTGCCCTTATGAATATTTTGCAGCAGTCTTTAAAAAGAAGACTTTCAACAAAACTGACAACTTTCATTGATTTTCCTTTTTGCCATTCCAAACTGAAATAGTTCATCTAAGAATGTTGCATTTTCTGATAAGCTCCCATTACTGAATGTGCAACACATCTGCCAAACGATCTAATTTCTAGCCAAGTGATATCATTATCTGAAAGTGAATGTTCTTTTTTATACCTAAATAAACAATAACATGATCCTATTCAATTAACTTCTGTCCTCTCTGAGACGAAATTGGAGCATTGCATAATTTGACATAGCACTAATGGTTGTCAATTACAGCAAGGGCAACAACAAGCTCTCATGTGTGGAACACAAACCCAGTCACTCACACTTAGTCATCTGCTGGCTAATTATCCCTGATACCTCCTAGGGTGTCCGGTAACAGTAAACAATGAGACCTCCTCCCAAATCTACAAGTACACCCAGCTGAAATGTATTTGGGGAATGCAAACATGGTAATTGCTGGGAGGGCAAATCCAAGATGTCAGCCTCAGTGTCCATTTGCATGTATCCACTGCATACATTACTGATGCCGAGGCACTGTCTCCGGTTGGCATGGTGATCACAAGAAACAATGGAATTAATTTGGAAACTCTTTCTGAGACATCGAAATATCTTTCAGGTGCATTTAGAAGCCGTAGCATCAATGGAGACAGGATTGACAACATCTTCCCCAAGCAAGGGAGTTAACTGGCTACATATGTCCAGTTTCCACCCTTGCCCAACTAGACTGGAATTTCTGGGGTATTATGAGTTATATCTCTTCCATGTCCCTCCTATTTAGAAACCCTTGGATCAATGAAGATAGGATTGACATGGATTTGATCTTCTTTTATGACGTTACGAGACAAGTATTCATACATGCTTCATAAAGGTGCTAGGCCCTCAACCAAACTATTGTGTTTAAATAATGGATTTTAACTTCTTTTACTCTTTAATTATGACGTTCCAAGGTGAGTACTCATACCTGCTTCAAAAATACTACAAAATATGATATAATATTGTCAAAAATGTGACAGAAGATTTTCTTTTCATAATATGTTAACATTTAGCAATAATGTATTGTATCACACTTTTTATGCATGTTATATATTTCAATAATTACACTTGTCCGCAGTCTGTATACATGTTGATGGAAAGTTGGACAATGACTTTTGCCTCATCCATTTGACCTTTTAATATTAATAAAATATGTTTAAAACAAACAAAAACATAACAATAATGTACATTTAATTCTCAAGTACTTGTCCTATGCCATGACTCTGGAATTTTTATATATAAAAAGCCTTGCTAAACCATGTCTAGTTTCATGATTCCACATATGAAAACAGCAGAAGAAGAAATTCCAATTTGTTTAAAGAAATGTTTTCACAGACTAAGTATCAGTCTACTAAAATACATGTAACTGAAACAATTACTTCCAATGCAAATATTTTTTTGATATATGTAATATATGACATATCGCTATTGCTCATCCAAAGCGAGATCCACCATTGCCCACTCAACTCACGGGGAAATACTGACGATCAAGCATTTACCTCGCTACTGAAATCCACCAGGCGTGTTAATTTCCTACCTAGAAAAGACAGACAATCAAGTAATCTACATTCCAACTCCATTCATCAGCACACTTAACTTTTGACATTTCCAAAATTTAACATGCATGACATTTCAGCCGATTACATTTTTTAGAATCAAATTTGCAAGACAAAATGCAAACCATTTTTGGTGAAGTCAGCTTTATTGCGATTGAGTAAAGGACACTGAGAAAATGTTATACCGAAAAAACAATCAAAAACCTTTCATTGGAAAATCCTTAAACACCATTGTGTAGGAGGGTTAGAATGCTTCACAGCGCTCTCGTGGTTGGTTGCTGTTTCTGAAGTTCGAAATTTCTGAATGACTTACAAAAACATTTCTTTCTTGGACAAAGTGTGATTCAAAATGAGGTTGAGATGAATCAATACTGATATAGATTTGGAATCAAAAGAATAATTATTTCGAACGTTCAAGAAGATTCACGTATATTCATATCTCAAATGAACAGCAAAAATAATCATTTTGTATAGACCTTCTCCGTCTCTGTGGGAAGGTACATACGTGATGTGGGGGTTGTTTTGCCGGTGCTGATGATGGGGTGTCGGGATGGAGTTGTTGGAGGTTTGGGTAGTCGTGTTTGTGTTGAAACATTGGAACTCATCCGAGGGTCGCGTGT